TGGAGGTCACAAACAGGGCTATACTCCGTGGACTAAAAGCCCGCTTAGCCCGAGCTAAGGGACTATGGGTAGACGAGCTGCCCATTGTACTATGGGCTTACCAAACTACCGTGAAGACCGCCACGGGTGAAACCCCCTTCAACCTCACCTATGGCACAGAAGCGGTAATCCTAGCCGAGATCGAGGTGCCTACATTACGCCTGGAGGCATACGACGAAGAGGCAAATGATGATGAGATCCGTACCAACCTCAACCTGGTGGAAGAAGTACGGAACCTCGCATGTATCCGGATCGCAGCCTACCAACAAAGAGTGACTCGGTACTATAACACCCGGGTCAAGAAGCGGCACTTCCGTGTCAAAGACCTGGTCCTTCGGAAAGTTATGGTAACTGAGCCTGGTGTCGGTAAGCTTAGACCAAACTAGGAAGGTCCCTACCGAGTAAAGCAGGTACTCGGGGAAGGTACGCACGAGCTTGAAACCTTAGAAGGAAGACAAGTACCTCGAGCGTGGAACATCAGCAATTTAAGGCGATACTACCTGTGATCGTCGAATTGGAGAGCGGACTGCGAGTCACTCCCAGAAGTCTAAGGACTAAAAGTGTCGAGCTGATAAAAGACCTCGGCATCATATAAGTCCCAGTTGCCTCTTCATCTTGGGTGAACTAGTCCCAGTCGCCTCTTCGGCATGGGTGATCAACAAGTCCCAGTCGCCTCTTCGGCATGGGCACATAAGTCCTAATCACCTCCTCGGCATGGGCATATAAGTCCTAGTCGCCTCTTCGGCATAGGCAAAGTACTTCTAATGCCTAAAGTGTAGACAACTCGGGTGTGAGCCCTACGATGTATAGCCCACTTCAGCATATATCAACAAGTTGGGCCTGTTAGGGACAACCGACATTCAAATGAGTAGCCTGTGCGCGGACAGGTCGGGTATATACCCTGCAATGTCGCTCACCTTGGCGTTCACTATGTAAAGTTGCCCCTACTAATAGTCCAAGTAGACAGTTCAGGGTAACAAACACTTAGATAAATTTTTAGTTTGGTTATCCTTACTTGTTGTCCAGCTCGGTAGCTTGACAATTCGGGTAACCTATACACTTGTTGCCTAGATCAGGAGTCATTTATACTTAGAATATTTTTGCACAAGAACTGCTCAGAAAAATTTATATTTCATTGAAAAAGTGTGAGTACAGAGATTTCGTTGAAACCCGAGCTCGGTGGCCTTGGGGCATACATCCAAAACACAAAAAGAAGAAAAAGCCAGAATCACTCGTGAGGACTGTCATCCGGGTCGGTTTCCATGTGCTCTTCCATGTCCTCCTGACCCGAGGGGCCCGCCTCTTCGACCTCGTCGTCGCTTTCCTCCTCTGACGGGCTTGGCTCTTCGTTCGCCGCCTCTACCACCTCGGGAGTAAGGCCAGACATAGTGATGACTCCAAGATCAAGATCGGGGAACTTCTGCTGCACCAAGTACCTGCGCAACTTGAAGCCGGAACGATAGGAGCTCGATCCATATTCGACTTGGAGATCTTGGAACTCCGAGGATTCCTTGAAGCGTTCGATGGCGTGGCTTCTTTCTTCAACCCGCGCCTCCTGGATAGCAGTCTCGAAGATCTTAGTCCGCTCTTGGATCGTCGCTTCGAGACTCTTGTTCTCTCGTTGAAGCTTCGCCTTCTCCTCGGTCAACATCGAGATCTGCTCCTATTGCTTCATTTTCTCCTCGGTCAGTGGGAGATTAGTTACTACTGCTTCTCCTTCTCCTCAGTCATAGCCAAGATCAGCTCCTGCTGACTTTGAGCTCCATTCTTGGCCCGAAGTATCTCGCCCCGAGCTAGGTCCAATTCGCGATGAAGCTGTCGTGCCTTTTCTTCGGCATCTCGAGCCTGCTTCAGACGGATCTCGGACTAACACATCAACGAATGAATGGCAGAGTTCACCTAGCAATTAAAACCGAGGTAAGTACATTTGAAATGACAAAGAAATAAAATGTAAAGTAAAGTACTTACCACCATGCAATAATCAGCAGCTCGGCTTCCGAGCATGGTTGTAGACATGTCAGCCCACTCCGCGACCTCATCAGGAAAGACGGCGTCCTTGTTCTTACGCATTCTGAGCTGAAGAGTCATTATGCTATGCTTGGAGGGCTTGAGCCTCGGTGCAGAAATGCTCTCCGGCCTGTGAGGTTGGATGCTTTCCTGCTCGGGTACAGAAGTGCTCCCCGGTTCATGAGGCTGAGCATCCTCCTCCTGGTCATCATCCAGGTCCACTACGGGGGGTCGAGGACGAACCTCCTCCTTGGGGAGCTCGGTAGAGATCGGCTCCACGGCAAGGGCTTCGGATGGGACAGGAGCTGAAGGACTAGCCTCCTGGCGAGGCTTCTTCAAAGCCTTCCTCTTCTTCCCTCTCTGGACGCTTTTGAGAAGGTTCTTGGCATTGACGTCCAGCATGGTAACTACAAGAGCAAAAGGTTAGCCGCGAACTAAAAAGAACCTTAAAGTAAAAAACCAAGGTGGAAACCTACCAGGAGGGCTCAGACCAGCTCACACAAGCTTCTCCTCGGCCAAGAAATCTTTCATCTCAAGGACGAGGTCCCTCCACGAGTTGATGATTGCCCTAGTTTCTGCATCCAAGCTCACCCCGGGATCCTTGATAGCTACCCTCCAGTGAGTTGGAAAAGACCACCCTTCAGGATTTTGGACAATGAAATACCTCCTCTTCCAGGCTGGAACCTTGTTCGGGCAGCCAAACAAGATTTTGAACCCAGGCCGAGGTGAAATATAATAGCTTTGTCTGACGTCCCCGCGTAGACAAGCAGAATTCGCTTGATCGCATAGATCGAGCTGAAAGTATCTAGGGACAGAGGCTGATTATATGTGTGAAACAAAGAGATAGTACCAACTATATTCCGAATAGAATTCAGGTGTAGTTGGTCGATGGTAATATTAAAGAACTTGACTACCTCTATAATGAAAGGGTGAAGCGGGAAGCGCAGCCCGGCCGCGAACTGCTTCTCAAAGACCGCGAGCTCATGGTGATCATGAGCCTAAGGATATTGACCTAGGGGAAGGCTAAAAACCAAGCTATCGGGAAGACGATAGCGAGCTACTAGGTACATTAACCTATCCGAGGTCAGAGTAGAAGGACCGAAGTCATCTGTATCCCGACCACGGGAAGAAGACGAGGCCTCCGTTCTAGAGGACGGACCCTCTTTTCGAACCTCGGTCTCCCTGAGCCGAGATGACTCAACTTCGGGAACGGAAGTTTCCTCTAAAGACTGAAGAGGGGAGTAACCCAGCGGCGAGCTGCCCTCCCCAGCAGGGGTCGCAGATTGCACCACGGCACCCTCAACCTCACTAGAACTACCTAAAAGCCTATCTACGCTAGAACTAGACATGATTAGAAGGCAAAGGAAAAACAAACGAAGGAAAACACAGACTCACCGAAAAGAAGGACGACCTCGGAACACAAAGAGAAGAGCGAGCTGAAAGACTCCGATGCGACCTCGGGAGAGCTCTATCGCAGAATTTGTGGCGAGAAAAATGAGTCACAGACCCCCTATTTATAGCCGCTATGTCCGAGAAGTAACAGTCGAGATCGAAGCGATCCGACGGCTCCTAGGAAAACTAGCTGCGCAACCCCCGAGGATAAAATCGGTTTAGCGCATTTTTTTATGTCCGCGGAGTTTATAGATCATGTGACATTCGCGCGTAGGCCAGACGCGACCTAGGTTTTCCTAGTTGAGCCGGGTAGCCAAACAAGTCCGACCCGTGACTCATTTGGCTAGCTGCCTGGACTTCGGACCAAATCCACTTGGCTCGTCATGAACTCCCTGCACCGGGTTGGGACCCCTGGCTCGGGGAGTGGGGGACAATTGATGTAGGGTGATTTGGCCCGACCTAGTAATAGGGGGACACGTGGACACGACCTAACTTGCAGGGTGACAGCTCATTTCGACGCATCAAGTCCGCAATGAATCGAGCTCAGATAACCGAACCACCTCGGGGCAAGTCGACCTCGGGACAAGTTCACCTCGGGGCACGATCGCATCAGGACCACCTCGGTCCCAAGGCACTTCGGCATTCGTACCAGGTCGGATTCAAAGGGCGCTAGCTCGAGTAATATTGACCAACCACCGCTTGGCAACCTCGAGGATCTCGCCACCAAATTCCACGCCTTACGGGATCACACCTCGTAACAGATAGCATTATCTCCCCTGTCCGATTCGGGCGAAAGTGATAAATCTTATCAGCTGGCACCGTTATCCCCAATTAACGCGAAAACGGACCTCATCGTAACGAGGATCCTGGAACCACTCGCGTAATCTTTGCTCACCAGCTCTCTTGCTTTCTAAGCTACTATCAGCTCGCAACATATTATTGACTTAAGCATCGGAGCAACCTCGTCGGGTAAGCACCCCTGGATTCTCTGATTCACCTTTTGCAAATCAACTGAATTCGTCGTCTACTTGGAGCCAGATCACCTCCAACTAGGAAGAATCGGATTGCGCAACATCAAAAAGTAATAGCGAATCAGGTGTTATTTGTCAAAATCCACCCATGGATTTTGATTGATCAAAACTCTTTCCACACTATATATATCTTTAAGGCATCATAGATTTTCCCAACGTGGCTAAGTAATTTACTGTCTTATGTTCTGTTATAGATCGCTTCTTAAGAAGCAAAGAAAGCAAAGCTAACGTTATGCCGTTATGGCGGATACGTGGCGTGTTGACCACGGAGAAGGAGGAGTATTTTCAACTGAAACAAACCTCAAGGAGAAATAGAAGAATCTCGTTAGTCATAACTCATAACATGCACTTTCACATGCGTAATTTCGCCTTCGGAAAAACGTCTAATGTCTACGTGGCAAATTAAGAAGCGGCAACACTACCAGGGTGTGCGACAGAACTGCGGGCGCGTGGAGGTGGAGGTGGCGGCCGTCGTCACCCCTCAAATCTCAAAAGTCAGTATATATTTGAGCAGTTTTCTTCTATATTTTCTATAGAAAAAAGTAAGGAGTTTTGAAAGATACTCCTCCATTTGACGTTTCAATCGAGAGGAGAGAAAGAGGAGCATCACCCTAGACGCACAATTTCCTGTGGGCGTGATTCTCTGTTTTGCCTTTTTTTTTTCTAGTTTTCTGACGTCCCAGCTGATCACGGTTCAACTCACAAGTTGTTTGGTTTCGGCCTGAGTCAAGACAACACCTTTATAAGTCCATGATGCGGAGATTTGTCGCAGGCCGGGCGAGAAATCTGATCGCTTCCCTTCAGCGTTCACTCTCTTCTCAATCTCCTCGAAACTTTTCCTCTGCTGCCGCTGCCGCTGATATTGATCCTTCCATCATGTCTTCCTCTTCAACTACTCCTGTTACAGCTGAAACACTAAACCCAAAGGTCTACCCTTCTTTTCTTTTTGCCCTTTGAGTTTGTTAGATTGGTTAGATGGGTGTGTTGATTATTGTGCTTCCGCACCTGGCTTCATCTTCTTTGTATGTTTTCATAAGTATCGTCGATCGTATTCGGTCTTCATCCCTTCATGATCTCGTATTCTATGCTTTGACATATAAATGATAAATGCCTATGCTTGATGTTGTTTGTATTTCTGCTTGAGGATTTCACTTCATTTACTTATTCATTTTTGTTTCTTTCCTGTTTTTTTTCTGTCGGCATATCTATCTAAGAGGGAGTTCTTCCTTTTCTTATTTTCTGGTTTTCGGCTCTTCGCTTTGATGACTCTGTTTCATTGACCTGTTATCTCCCTTTTCTCGTTACGACTTTTTCGATTTCAGCAATCTGTTTTATTCTTGTATGCTGTTTTAGATGGGATTTGTACCTACATGTAAAGCATCTCAGTTTTTTTTGAGTTTTGAGTTTGACTGGAGATGTGGGAATGACTACATTTGAAGTCTCTAAATGCTACACCAGGAATAGTCCCTTGAGTCACAGTTTCTTGGGGCTTGGTTCTAGTTTATATCCAGCTAGCATGACTGGATTAGGATTCTATCAAGCCATTGAGTGTTAAATGAATTCTTTATGATTACTTAACACAAAGTCTGAAAACAGATTTTATACTCATAAAATAAGCAAAATCAGTTATAATTCTGATTTACAATTAACACATCCGAACAAATTTGAAGAGGGAAAGTCTTATGGGTGCTTTAGAGCTTGCAAGCTTTGTGTGGAATTACAGATATAGCTTGTAGATATAATTTAAGTACTCATGCCATGTGAGCTAGGTGCATCTTTTTTCGACCATCTATGTGCTGATAATCTAAGATGGCATTCTTTTTATCCATTTCCAGGTTCTAAAATGTCAATATGCTGTTCGTGGAGAGATTGTTACACATGCCCAGGTACTGTACCAAATTCTAGAGCATGGTTTGTAAATAATCTTTCCTTGGGATTATTTCTCTTTGTTTACAATGCACTTGTAAATTAATGTTAATAAAAAACCTGCAACTTGGGAAACAACACTTATTTTCTACCATCTCCTGGTCTGTGGAAATCTAGATCATCTACCAATAACATGGAGGTACATATTCAGGTGTGAATGTTGGATAGGTGCAAAATAGGAGGCCTTTTGGACCATTTTTCAACTTAACATTTTTTCCTTGATGACACAGATAATGCTTCAAAAATTTGTTGAATCATTGAATGTTATGTGAAAACCAACTTCTTATTGAACATGTGTTCCTGCATTTGAGCCATATTCCTTTGTGAATCACTTCTGAATGCAGATTTAAGATTAATGAGTTATCTATTACATGTGAATGCATGGTCTTATGGAATCATGTATATCTTATGTGGAGTTTCTCTACTATCCTAATTTGCAGCGTTTGCAACAAGAACTGCAATCAAAGCCCAGTTCTCATCCCTTCAATGAGGTATCTCTCTAACTTCTTTTTCTGTACTTTTTTGAACATGTCAAACTGATTTTATGACTAAGACAAGCTTAGGATGAAAGGTTAGTTTCCATATGTTAACCATAAACCATTGTCTGAGCATTTGGTTTTGCATGTTAAACAACCTGCATTTTATGAGCAATTACCTTCATTGGAAGAAGAAAAGAAATTACTAGAAATGTAAGTAGTAAAGGCCCAGGATCATATGGGCCCTTAGAACTCTCTCTAGCCAGAAAATTTGTGACTGCCTCACCACAGAACTATGTAAATTTTTTAATTAACCCATGTTTGTGACTCATGTTAAATTTCATGCCAAGTTGTTCTTCTATACTGAAATTTCCTCTTCTACAGATACTTTACTGCAATATTGGAAATCCTCAATCTCTTGGTCAACAACCAATTACCTTTTTCAGAGAGGTTTGCAAAAATTAACTATTCATAGAAAGTGTGACCAAGGGTGGTCAACTTTAGCAGTTCTTGATTGTTGTCATGTTTTTTTATCCCCCAGGTTCTTGCACTTTGTGATCATCCAGCACTTTTGAACAAAAGTGAAACACAAGGCTTGTTCAGGTATGCTGGAACTGTTGTTTTCTAAAAAGATTGCTAGTTTGTAAATTGTAAAGATGAACTACTAGACTTTCTACAGGGATTATTGATTTTGTAAGTCAATACTACACCAGGACTTTTCCCTAGATATAGACAAGATTTCCTTATCAAAAACTTGTGATCCTGAAAGTTCTCAATGTCAAGAAATTTTTAGTTATAGACTTATAGTTAATCATCTTCACAGTCTTGGTTGGTAAAATCAGAAATTACTTTGCATATTATTCAAAAAGAAAAACATTGGTAAATATGCATATCTAGAGAGAGAGAAGGGATATTTTAGTATTTTCAAGAAGGAAACCACAGACCATTGTTAATTACTTCTATCAAGTCTGTACTTATCCTTTTCATATCTTCTTCTACATTTCAAACCTCGTTTATACTGAATGAATTCCAACAAGTGTCCAAGCCTGTATTCTAAATCTTTTTCTATATTCTAAACCTGCGCTTCACTAATTTAACTTTTACTAAAAGCTTTTCAATCTCAAATACTTGACTGAGTTCTTCCTTATAAGCTGTCTCTTCTCAGACCTAATTGTGTTGTTTATTTTAACCTTCAAGCCTTTGTCCATATGAAATAGTATCAATTATCCTTTTCAATTTCTATTAAACTCCGTTGATGGCCTAGTCCTTTCCTAGCCCCTATTCCACTCACTTTGCCATTTCCAGGTTTCCTCCTTGAATGGCTTGTAGAAAGTGACAGGAGCCAAAAACTCCAAATGGGATCTTAATTAGTGGCAATTTGATTTGAATAACATTTTTTTTAATTATTTTAACCTGAGATAGTCAGGAAAGTGGTGTTAGCAACTCTTTTTAGAGCCAACTCCTGGTCTTTCTCAAAGGGGCTCATCCTTCAGAACCAATTCTAAACCAAAGGATTGGAGGGAAGGAGGTGATTTGCAGGTCGTTTTCAGAACCAATTCCTTGGAGATTAGGCATTATGTCAAGAGGCAAGTCAGATTGAATACCTCATTCTGATAGGTGCTAAGATTCACTAGTCCAGTTGTCGACACTTCTCCAGTGGTGGAGCTGGGAGGCATTAGAAGACTGACCTTCCAGTGTAGTAGTGGATGTAGTCTGGTTTTTGTCTTTCAGTTTATTTTTCCTCCTGGAGGATCTTTTCTGCATATTCAATTTTTGTTGTGGGGATCGTCAACTTCCTATCTTCCTCTCTTGGTTTTATTTTTCTCATTATTGTTTAAAAGATTTCTGTTCTTAATTTTACCATGGTTTGATCCAGTGCGGATGCTATACAACGAGCTCAGCAGATTCTAGATCAGATACCAGGGAGGGCAACAGGTGCATATAGTCATAGTCAGGTAGTTATCAGACTGCAACCCCCTCCTACTACCATTTAAAAATTACATTAACATTGCCTCCTGTTCACACCATTTCAGGGTATCAAGGGTTTACGTGATGCAATTGCTGCCGGAATTGCAGCTCGTGATGGTTTCCCTGCTGATCCAAATGATATTTTCTTAACTGATGGTGCAAGCCCCGGGGTAACCTTTAATTTCACTTCCTTGTTTCTCTTAGTTTTCACATAAGAGGTGAGATAAAAGGAATGATCACATGATGTTTTATGTTTTCTTCTTAGGTTCATATGATGATGCAATTGCTCATAAGGTCAGAGAAGGATGGCATCCTTTGCCCTATTCCTCAGTACCCATTATACTCTGCCTCAATTGCTCTCCATGGTGGTGCTCTTGTATGTTTAGATTTTTAAGACAGCATTTATATATTACATTTTTTACTGTTTTTAATGGCTTCTTTTGTCTCGTCCAATTTTAAATTTTAACTAAAAACTGGAAAAGTAATTTCTTTCTGAATCCATATGCAACATCTATGATGGTAACCAGAGAACTTGATCGGTTTCTGTAGGTGCCATACTATCTTGATGAAGCTGCAGGCTGGGGGTTGGAGATTTCCGAGCTTAAGAAACAACTACTAGATGCCAAATCCAAGGGAATTGTTGTTAGGGCCTTAGTAGTGATCAATCCAGGCAACCCAACTGGACAGGTAAATAAGCTTTTTCTTTCCTTTTATTTTTAAATGCCAACTTTGTTATGACATGCAAATACATTTGGTCCATCATTTCCCTCTTGTACATTTGCTTTGACTGGTATCTTCGTTCTTTATGTTGGAAAAACTTTGGCTGTTAGCGCTGTTGAGAACATTTTTTGGAATGCCCCGTTACCATAGAGTAGGGTAAAATAGTAAGTGCCCCCTATTTCTTTTTAAGCATAAATATAGACATGGGCGTCAATTGGTGAACATATCCAGCCTAAAAACACTCTCAACAGCATAGGCTGTTGACCCCCAACAGCCGAAGTTAACTCCTTTATGTTAGTGCTGTTCTTGGCTTCACCACATAGATTCCTCCTCCTCATTTTTGTAATGTTTTATTCCTTTAGGTTCTTGCCGAGGGCAATCAACGAGAGATAGTGGAATTCTGCAAGAAAGAAGGTCTTGTCCTCCTTGCAGATGAGGTATGCTGCTTGATCCATAGCAACTTGAATACAATTTGCTTGAGTACTCTTAAGTAATCTGAACACAATGTGCTTCTGTTGGGCCACTTGAATGAATCAATTATTGAATTGTCTCACCATTTATAGTATTGGATTTTAACCAAGTCCAAATAAAGAATTTCTTTATCTTACAAAACTGCTGCCAACCCCATATAGTTGGGATTAGGCTTGGATGATGATGAGTTGCAACAGTCACTAATGCAAATCAGTTGAACTTGAACATACAGGTATACCAAGAAAATGTTTATGTTGCAGACAAGAAGTTTCACTCGTTCAAGAAGATTTCCAGGTCAATGGGATATGGAGAAGCAGATATCTCTCTAGTATCTTTTCAATCTATCTCTAAAGGTAGGTTGCTTGTGATATTGATACTGACTAGAAGAACTAAAATTAGAGTTTTTTTAATAGCTCTACAACTAAAAGAGACATGATTTTGTTTCCTGAATTTCAGGATTTTATGGAGAATGTGGAAAAAGAGGAGGTTACATGGAAGTTACAGGTTTCAGTGCCGATGTGAGGGAACAAATTTACAAAGTGGCATCCGTAAACCTTTGTTCAAACATCTCAGGCCAGATTCTTGCAAGCCTTGTTATGAACCCACCTAAGGTAAAATCATTTTTCCTCCCCCCAAGTGTCAACTTTTTCTCTCAAAAATAAATTAAAAAAAAAGTTTGCTATAAAAAACCAATACATGTTGATACTATGTTACCAAGTCAGAATCACTTGGGACTTGGTAACATAGTTTTATAGTTTTATTGCCTAATTTCAGTTGCAACATACATGCTGAAAAGAGCTTTTGCAGGTTGGAGACAAATCGTTTGAATCTTTTTCTTCTGAGAAAAATGGAATTCTCTTGTCCCTAGCAAGGCGTGCAAAGGTGAGTTTAATAAATGAATCTCATTTTAGATTGAATGAAACAAGGCTCATTTTGTAGATGCATATTTTATGTATGCACTGACAAATGAGTGAGAATTAACTGGGAACCCTCCACGAGAATTTACCCGAAGACATCATCAACAACAGTATAATTTTGCTGATGTAGCAGTTGTAGGAACCCTCCACATCATCAAAAAGAGTATAATTTTGCTGATGTGGCAGTTGTAGTTGTATTAAAAAAACAAAAACAATCATGTTGTGGAACACTCCTTTTATGATCGAAATCATACCAAGCTGAAAAATAATTGAGTAGCTCGAGTCCTTGTAAATATGCAGATTGCAGACAACTCTGCCCATAACCAGTTTATGGGGGGGGACCCAAGAAACCCAATAGAATGTTATCATTGTGGTTTCTAGATTCTCCTCCCACCCCGTTTTCCAAGGAATACCAGCGGCACATCCATCAAAACTCCACGAGTGCTTGTAGAAAACCTTTTTCTTGGCCTCATTCAAGAAATAGGTCTACTTAGATGAATTCCAAGTCAGTATTTGAGCACTATTTTATTTTATATTTTTTGGGAGGGGAGGGGATTCAAAAGATTCTTGTTTATATTTCAAGTAATTAACAATAATTCCGAAGTGATTGACTATTGGAGGATCTCAGTACTCTAATGTCCTTGTTGATTTATATTTTGTTTGCAAAATAATTCATTCTACATCTAAATATGCTCCTTCCTGTTTATCCGCCACCCAGATATTAGAAGATGCTTTTAACAATTTAGAAGGTGTCACATGCAACAAAGCAGAGGGAGCAATGTATCTATTTCCCCGTATCCGTTTGCCTCGGAAAGCAATTGAAGCTGCAGAGGCTGCAAAAACAGCTCCAGATGCATTCTATGCTCACCACCTCCTTGATGCTACTGGGATTGTTGTTGTTCCCGGAACAGGCTTTGGACAGGTAGTATTCCTGATACCATTTGGTTGCATGACTTTTTGAGCTTTTATAGAGGAATGTGGCTTCATCCATTATCCATTGGTTGATGGATACTTGCTCCATATATCTATGGTTAAATGGTTATGCTGTTTTAGAGAATTTTGCAGAAGCAGAATTATCTTCACTCTTCAGGGCATCATTCTGACTACCTGCTTGTGCCTTGCTTTTTCTACTAGGTTCCGGGTACCTGGCATTTCAGGTGCACAATACTGCCACAGGAAGATAAGATTCCAGCTGTTGTCTCCCGCCTGACGGCCTTCCACCAAGCGTTTATGGCAGAATTCCGTGACTAAAAAACTGGTTTTCATAATGCACGTTTGCCCTCCCCTCCAAATAAAAGTTTTGCACCCATCCATATTTTCAACCAAATGGATGGTTTTTGTTTTGAAGAATAACGTGTAATTATTGTTGCACCATTACCTTGTTTTTAATATAATATTTAGGTTAGTTTAGTTTAGATGTTTGCAAATGAAAACTTTGTAGCCAAGGGTTGTTATTCATCTTAGATAGATATCTTGTTAGCTGATTCAATTCCATGGTCAAGCTAAAGTTGTTATTTGACTTATTGCGAGGATTATTCGATGGCCTTGAACCATGAAAATTTTCAAATATCCATTGAAACATTCACATGTTAAACGTCGTTAATGATGAGAGTTATATGGCCATATTGATATTAATTACCTGTTGCACAAGTAAGTAATCCTTTCAAGTTTCGTGAGTAATCTGATATTGGAGTGTGGAGAGAGTAAGAATGTCAACCTGCCACCATCCAGTTCACATTGTTACCTCTCTGTTCGCTACAATAATTAGTACCATTCTCATACTTCGGAGTGTGCAGAGAGAAAGAGTTCTGAGAGAAATCCCCTTCAATTAGACACTAACGTTTGTGTCTACATTCTGTTGATGAAAGTGTTATTCATATCGATATTTTGCTTGTCCAAACCATAGTAGCATGTTCATCGGAAGGATCACCATTCTTAAGGGCAAGAGGCGGTTTTGGAGCGGAAGATGCACAGGAATTGTTTTCGTTTTCGCTGGGAACGCTGGAGCCTGGAGTAGAGTCCTTACTCCTTAGGTGTGCGCCTTGCAAGATCACCAGTGATGAGGGTGGTGCTGGGAGCAAATACGCTTCACATCATACTTGCTAATGTTAAATGTTCGTCAGTCTCTACTTGTTCCCCTGTACTTCATTGCTGCAATATCATACGCTTCGGCTGTTTCTTATTGCCTTATTGGGTGCTGATCAATGTTCCAAGGTACAACTCCTTTCCTGCAACCCTTCCTATCCGACGAGCTTGCCACTATATTGGGATGCTCTTTGTACAAATGCATTGAGAAGGTAAGAGGCAGCTGGTTGGCTACAAAAGAATGAACGAGACGTACCTTATCTTTAGCATGTGATTATGTGAAGGATCTTTGTCTTTCCAGCATCATCAAGCCCTAGAAACATCTTGTCCTCTGTCTCCCAAAGGCCAAGCAATGCAAGAACGCTGTAGAACCAATTGAAAAGAAACATGAATAGTTGAATACCAACAACTCCGGTACAAATCACACAAAAATCTTAGGGGGTGTTCTGTAACATAGATGAGAAATTGAGTGGTGTGTTTCCATTCACACCACATGAGAACGCTCCAAACCCAATGTGGTAGTTCTAAACCGTGGACAAAGAAGTGTGGATTGAACCACACTACAGTACTACACCACCATAGGCGTTCTATAAGGTGTGGTGCATTTCAGTCCACACCCTATGTTTTGATCCCATGCATCTCACCTACAACATGTAGGGTAGTAATCGGATTGAAATTGGATTGGATGCAGCAAAATCCGCATCTGATCTGACTAATGAAAACCTACATCCAAATCCAATCGGATTTAAAGGCTCGGATTAGAATTCGAATCCTAACAGACTTGGATCAGATTCAGATTTAACCTGACTCTGCTTTAAATTTTTTTAAATACTAGAAAATTTTAAATTTAATTATTTTTCATATAGAATATATTTTATAATTTTAAATATAATTATATAAAATTTATATATTAAAATTAATAAATATTATAATATAATCTGATTCAGATGGGGTCAAATCTGAATCCAATCAGATTTCATAAATACATCATCCGAATTTGAGATAATCGGATTGAATGTCGGATGGGCCTCTGATTTTTGGGTATCGGTGACAGGCCTAACAACATCTAAGGTGATCTATGTTGTTAATAAGAAAAAGCAATATTTATTTTTGCCAAGAGTACTAATTTTATATAATAGTAATAATTAATAAAATATATACATATTTAATTAAAAAGTAATAAGAATTAAAAAATGCACATAACATTAAATACTATATAAAAAGAAAGAAGTAATATTTATTTTTTAATAATATACATAATAAAAATGTGGGATAGATTGGGTAAAACATACCATGGAAAGCATGGGATCAATCTTAGTAAAAAATTTCACAGTAGCATGGATCAATCCATGATAAAAACCTATGGATGAGAATTTGGCTTGTTGGTGGACCAACCAACGAGATAGTGTGGATCAATCCACACCACACGCCAACCGAATACCTTAAGAGATCGTGGTGCATTTCAAAACGCAATATATTGTGGTCTGACCATGATACTGAACACCCACTTAGTTGGAAAAAAATAAACAAAAACAAAGCAAATCAACCAACCAAAAAACTTTCAGAGCTCATATCCCCCACTCGGTTAGCTAGAAAATCTTTGAGATAGTAACAAATGGAGATGGAGAAAGAGAGTAAAACAAAGATGGACAAAGCCAAGGAGGAGGGAAACACTGAAAAAAGAGGGACTAGATGACAATAAAGCATGATTTATATGATGAATTAAAAAAAATTGAATTAGTGATAAAGTGACACATTGAATCTTTAATATTATTTAAGTCTTTAATGGTAAACGCATCTTGTAAAACATGAAAGTGCGTCTTATGAAATGAAATGTGAACCAATAAAAAGTAAATAGACCATGTGACATCTTTAACATGAATGTGACTAAAATTTTTAATGTGTAACAATTATTCAAAATGCACCATAGTTGTACCCTTAAAAATGAATAAATAAAAAATCACATAATATGCATGGGAACATTTTCCATATTAGGGGAGGTATTATCTGAGTGACATGTGAAAGTGGGGGGCATATGCAATTTTTTATAGCTTAGGTAGTAAAGTGACACACCCTCATACTTTGACTCTGCTAAAACTTCCCTTTAGCTGGATTTATCTTAGTAAAGTTTTAGTCATGGTTTTTAAAACCGAACCGGTGACCGAATCGATCAGGGCACCATTTTTCGGTTCGGCGATTCAACCGTCCGAGTTGAACAATTCGACTCGTGATGTCATAAATAAATAAAAACAAAAAATATTTATATAAAATAAAAAATACCATAAAAATTTAAATAAAATACAAAAAATACAGGAAAAAGAACAACATATAAAAAATAAAAATAATAAAATACAGAAAATACAAAACAATATAGAAAAAAATTCCAAAAAATATAGAAAAAATATGTAAGCAAGAATATGTAATGAGCTTCCCTCTATAATTCTATCAGTATAGAATAAGATCAAGAGGTATCCCACTTTGAATACAATCAAACTTATTCAAACACTCTCTACCCATCTCTTGCCATTCATATCTCTATGTATGGTGGCTCTAGCAGTGTTTGATGAGGGCAATGTGACCTCTACATTGTTTTCTATACAATACAAACTGAATTAGCAGAGTGTGTATTCACAGTCGAGCAAGCACGAGAGAATCTCTTCACAGCTTGGTCATTCATCCGGTTCTGGCCAACAATCTACAGTCAAGATTCTACAAGGTGAGCTTCCCATTCAATTGTCACCAACGATAAATCCGGCATCAAATTTGTAATCTAATACATACCTGCAATCAACTTGCCCAGGGGACCTTCACGAATTTCTAGCCATGATCCCTCATTAGCAACCGCATAGACTACCTGAATCATTGCACAAAGCAAAATGATGAACCAAATGAAGAACAAACAGGGGCTGATGAACCAAATGAACCAAAAAAATCAATTAAATCACAAAAAAATTATACCTTCAAGGTTTCACTACCAAGTGCCAATAATGGTGGTGTGACAGTGGATTCGCCGTCGGTGGGCTCAGGTAGTTGGGCTTGGTCGCAGGCAAGTTGCCGCTGCAAGCCTGCAAGTGGTGCTCCAAGAAGTTGACACTGAACTTACTCGCCAATGCCCAATGCCCAATGCCAAGTGTCGAGTGCCGAGTGCTGCTGCAAGCTCGCCATCCGCCGCTGCAAGTGCTGGTGAGGGTGACTCTTTTCACCGCTACGAGCTCACTGGTCGCTGTCAGATGCCGAAGGTGATGGCTGTCGCAGGTGGTCGGTCGATAGGGTGTGAGAGTTGAGAGGACTGAGGAGGGAACTCAGAAGGGTTAGAATTCTAACCCTGAAGCTAAAGGGAATAAGGGATTGGGATCGAACATGGTTGGGATATAATAGGAATTTTATTTTTCATTTTTTTATTTAAAACATTAAAAATAAAAATAATAACCTGTGAACCGCTACCCGGGTCGAACGGTTTAGCGGTCCGACCGCCCGGGTCAATAGTTTTCTGACATTTTCAACGTTTTTTAACAAATTCTGGTTTTTAGTAAAATCAGACCCGGGGGCTGACCGGTTACCAATTTTTCCGGTCCAGTCCGGTTTTGAAAACCATGGTTTTAGTAGCTTTTCAAAGTGGTTCAGTTTAGGGGTGTCAATTGGAATGGATTTGGTCCAATCTGATCCAGTCCAATGTGAGTCCATTACAAATGGACCATGTCCATTCCAATCCAATGAATATTTGGGATCATTTTGGACCAGTCCTATTAAATGTTTGGACCATCCAATCTGTTCAAATTTGTTTTAATTTAGATTTATTCTGACCCAAACCTGGTCATTATATTCTTATCTTCTATCAATGGGCCAGATATTGGCTCAGTCCATTATGGATGGACCAGGTCCAATCCAATCCAATAAATACTTTGGACCATTAAGTCCTGGTTGGTCCAATTCAATGTCTTGTCAGTCCATCCAACAAGACATGTTGAATTGGATCGGTCCAAACTTAATAGTCCAAAGTATTTATTGGATTAAGAATATAATGACCAGGTTTGGGTTAGAATTATCTAAATTGAAATAAATTTGAACAGATTGGACGGTCCATACATTTTATTGGACCAGTCCAAAATGGTCCAAAACATTCATTGGATTGGATTGAGCCTGATCCATCTATAATGGACTCACACTGGACCAATTTCAGTCCATTGACACCCCTAGAAACAAGGTGTAACATAGATACTAAACTCAATCAGAAATAGGGGTGCAAGTCGGGTGGGTTGGGCCGGGCTCAGGCTCGGGCCCGGGTTGGTCAATGAACCCACTCTAAAATTATACATATATAAATGTATTTATGCAAATATATATACATATGTTTATGTATGTATGCAAAATACCTATACAAATATTATATATACAAATATGTATATATATGTAAATATGTATGCAACATTTACATATATATATATATGTATATGTATAAATGTATATAATTGGGCCGGGCTCAGGCTACCTAAGAGCTAGGCCCGAGCCTGACCCGAATAATAAAAAAACCCGACTTCTTGGGCCCAAGCCCAGCCCATGTAAATTTCTAAGTTGGGCCGGTTCAGGCTCGGGCTGAGCCCACCCAAGTTGCACCCCTAATCAGAAATGAACACCGCCAACGATCAACATTGTTATCTGGGCGAAGTCTGAAAATATTGGGCCGACGGCCGACCTGCATGGGTGAAGGATCATGGTGGAGAGTCTGGGGATGGAAAAGCGATGGTATTACTGTGGTTCACACTTTTTTGTAAGTTCACATGTGCATAAGCTCGCATATGCCCATCACAGGCGAAGTCTGAAAATATGTTATCTGGGCGAATCTTTTCCATGTTACAAAGAAATATTTTGCTGCTGATTCAGAGTTTTCTAGAAGAATTCAAGTATTTGCCAGATCAGGACAGGGAACTGTTCTGGGTCTGGTTCCCAGGTCGAACGGTCTGAATGGACAATCTGTTCTAACTAAAAAAAATGTAAAAATTTAAAATATATATATTAAAAAATAAAAAAAGACCAAAAACCATTGTCCAGATTGATAGTTTAATCGCCCGAGTCAGTGGTTTGCTGACCAAATCAACAGTTTTGGGGTGAAACGAAACCGGTCAGGTGACCAGTTCCCGATTTTTCCGGTCCCATCCGGTTTTAAAAACACTGTTCCAAAGGTAAAAAAAAAAAAAGAATGGAAATGGAGTCCATCGTTAATTCAGAAAGCATTGAAGAGGAAATTTAGTATTTGCAGCATGAAATCCATCAAGAGGACCTTCAAAATCAAAGAGGAAGGTGAAGGACAAGACCTGCCAGCTGGAGTTCCTGCAGAACTCTGAGACTGACTGAGGCTCAGAAGGAAGAAGAGGAGCTTCTAGACTTGACCAATGACCACCCACTGCAAAAACAATTTTGACTACAGCATTTATGGCATATGCTGTGACAGGACGTCAATCGATGCATTTTTTATTTTCTTTCAAGTTTTTCCTTGAACATTGACCTTTTTATAGGATCAAAATTTTACATGTGACCGAAAAACAAAGACACCCCTCCATTATTATGTTTAAAAAAAAAAAAAGACTAAACTAAAGGAGGGTCTTCCATTACATGCAAGTTGTTAACACAGTTGCCGGATGAGTCACACACTGATTGTGTGTACACCTTGTGTAGCAGATCCAGACTCCATAACCCCCACCCCCACCCAATTGTTTCAGGCATTAAGGAGAAACATCTTTACCATTAAGTCCAGATAAAGATTTTTAACATTGACCTTTTTATCTCAAACTAAGAAGCCATAACGCTGCAGTTCCACAATCAAGAAACCAAAGTCCGAATTAGCTTTGGACATACTCAGCCCCTAAAATGAGGGGGGAACGGAAGCAAATGAGGAATCCTACTAAACAATACAGTACAAAATGTATGCATGTGTTGCAAAGGAAAAGAAATCAGCCACAGGCATGGATTTGGAAGAAATCTTCATAGGCGACTAATGACAGCCTCCACTTCAGACGGGGAGTAGAGATGATATGTTGGAGCCACCTTTGCAATATCAACATTGTTTGGAGTCACCTAAGAACAAAGATCACAAACACAACCCAAAGCAACAGATAAGCATGCGCAACTCTCCCATGTAGGTGTGGGTGCTTGTGGACAAACCCAAATAACAGATAGGAGCATAATTGTGGAAAACCTACCTTTTCTTCCATCACCTGCTTCAATATGGAAAGAGCTATCGTTTCAGCTTCCTGAAGCGTTATATCCTGCACATCCAGGGAAACAACTAATTAGATTCACCACAGAGCTTTCCTAGGTTCATCATTGTTAAATGAGAAATAAAACGTACAATCAAATATTGGAATCTGGAAATGTGATCCAGTAAAGTTAAGCAATTTGACCATGAGGTGAGTAAAAGAGCCCTAAAGAACTCTTTCTTACTAAAAAAAAGTCCTGAAATATTTTGTTCAAACTCTTATTATTTTCTTTTCCCTTTTTTCACTTTTTGTTTGAAAACAACAGGCAAGTGCTACTTTAAAAAGTCAACGCCCTGACCAAGTTAATGAATCCACGAATTTGGATCTAATTCACCTCTGAGCATTGACTAATTTTATCAAATTTCAGAATTATTGACAAAGTTGATGAATATCTAAATTTGTTTCTAATTCCCATTTGAGTATAAAATAGCAAATTCAGATTTTGTGTCCACCACCCATAGATGTAAATTTATATAGACCAGGATAAGGGAGATGAGAAAAAGTAATACGTGAAACTTTTTATTCCACAGTGAAAAAAAGAAATATTCCTTAAATTGTTTACTACATATCTTCTGCGTTCTTGTTTTCAGAGTACTTAAACTAGTTTTCTATTAGGGGCATGTTCGTTTTTTGGTAAATGTTGCATGTTGGGGCGGGGGGGAGTTGGTCAATGGGTTCCCATTGACCAACAATCCCACATTCTTTTTGCCGATTCATGTGGGACCCATGGAAAAATTACAGTGATACCCTTCTCCCAGCGCATGATGGAACAACATTGTCCCTTCTAATTTTGTCTTTCTAAGGATAAAATGATCATTATCTCACTAATAAAAGAACACAGGTAAATATACTTACCCGAGTAAAGGCCAAAAGAAAAAACGAACAGGGTCTAGGAGTTTCTTGGGATTGATGCCACAGTACCCATGCACCCATGTTCAAAAGGGGGTGGTATCTCATCACAGCTTAAGGACCACCCTTGCATGTCCCTAAGGCACTTTCCATGGTTGGTTATTCCTCAAGTGTTCTTTTTTTTCCGATACAAAGGTTAATTCATTGGTTATTATTGAGGAATGTTTCAAAAGATCCTTTCTGCAACCAAAGCCACTTCCACAAGAGAATTCAACCATCCAATCATTTTTATGTTGTTACTATTGTGTAAACCTACTTTTATTCTTTTCCCCTTATTCTATTGGCCAGGTAAAATTGTCAAACTTTACTCAGATTTCCATCTCCAGATATTGACCATACTCTAGAACTTTTTGGATGTTTCAAATACCAGCTAAACAGAAAGATAGATATCTAAAAAGACTCACCAACCATTCCAAACATATAGGAAGCCTACTAAGAAAAAGAATAGTAGAAAACCAGAAGATGCAAATACCTTGTTATATTGCTCCTGCAAAGAGCTGTCTGCTCCTTCAGAACCTGAACCTATTGCTTTTGCATTGCACTGCCAGAATGTTCCAGATGGATCTGTGTAGTATCTGCATATTATGTGCATATTCTTAAGACGCTCACCCAAATTCTAAGGTATATAAATATAGTTTAGAAGTATTCTTATATCCTGTCCTCACCCATATCATAATAACTTTGATATTCCAATGAATTTCGTTTATTCATGTTATCAGATATTACTTCTAGCTTTCTTTCTACATTTGCTTTAGCAATGACCTCATTTTTCTGGGCATTTCTTATGACCAAGATCAAAAGCCTAGCAAAATCAACTAGATATTTTAAATTAGAGATTAGCCATCAAAAGACTCGAAAGTGTTAAAAAGATGGGCATTACCATTAGTCTCAAATTTTTGGTTGAGTTGTCCAGCCTTGAGATGTTGTATAGCACATACACCCCCAAAAAATAATAGATAGAAATAACATATATATGTTGTGTCCCATGATGGAAAGCAAGGCCACCCTCACCCTATGAAGGTACCTCTATGCTGAGGATTTACTATTGCCTTGTTGAAGACAGCTACAAATATTCAACCAAGGTTATCTGATTGCAGGGATGGCTTACAAATTAATAAGGGAATCTCATTTTTAAAGTAATTGCTTCTAGCTTTTCTTTATATATAAATAGAAAACATTAAAATCTTCTCCAGAACTTCCATTATTAAACACTACCTTAGTAGGTCCAATCTAATTGCAGCTAGAGAACGGTAATCATAGTCTAGATCATACAAAAATATATGAATTCAGTGGAGAGGGTACTTACAAACTAGGGCCATTCTCATCATGACCAGCAATCAGAAGAGATACCCCAAAAGGCCGAGACTGTACAAGACAAAATTACAAGTCATTAGGGAGTGTTCAAGTATTTTAACAAATAGAAGCTACTCCACATCCATAGTGCCACCATTCCAAATTTTTTATTTTCAAAAGCAAGAAGGCAACTATTAAAAAGTCATGTCATGATGATGAAGATGGATATGAACCAAGGCTGGAGAGATAGGCAACTTAAAAAGAAATTTATGTTTTTTGTGGACTTAGGTTAGGGTTTGGGTTTGTGAGGATAAGGGTGTGGATACAGATTTGTCTTAGGTAATACGGCAGTTAATTTGATTTGAAACTTCCAAAGCCAAAGCTGGAGTGGTAGGGAAACTTAAAAAGAAATTAATGTTTTTTTGTGGATTTAGGTCAAGGTTTGGGTTTGTGAGGATAGGGGTGTGGATAAAGATTTATCTTGGGTAATACCACGATTAATTTGATTTGAAACTTCTAAAGCCATTGATTTTAGAGGATGCTGAGATGTTTCGAAATAATATAACATTAACTCCCAAAAATTACAAAGATTTTATTGGGTATTAAGGGGGCTGTTGCTTGGTGCAATGATAAAATTTTGGGCAGATGACCATGAGAAAACAAGTTTGAGTCTAAGAGTGGCTATTGGGTAATAGCCTTATTTTAATGGAATTTCTGAAAATTGTTCTAATGATTTAACCAAACATGGTTTTCACCAAGCTTTGACAGGGCTGATTTAGAGAGAAGTGTTTCTCTCCCTATAGAAAGAGTTGTAAATCACACCTGCAATAATCTGAATTAAAAGAAAAGAAACAGGAGAAAAGAAAGAGATTGAAGAGAGAGAAGTGATGGAGGAAGAAGATGGAAGAAAAGGAAGAAGAAGAGAGAGTAATTCAAAATCTCTCTTCAGCCCCCAATGATTTCTTTTATTCTTTTGTTGTAAAAATAAGGACAATTACATGAGTGCCCTTAGTAGCGCATCCATCACTAAAAACAGCAATAAAAAACACTAAAAAAAAAGAGAGAGAAAACAGGCCTATAACTAAAGCCCACTACCTACTAACACAAATCATAAACCTAACTTACAGAAAAACAAATAAACTAAGGCCCATCCAGCCCAATATCTCTACAGAAAGTTTGTGAAGGCTGAAAGTAGAAGGAACTTGAAAGAAGAAGGCTTACCAAGAATGACCTTTTCATGTGTATTTGATGGCTGTTAGTGGTTGAACTGAGAGAACTTGCAAGAGAAGACAAAAGAATAGAGAAATGGGAAAAAACCCAAGAATCATTCAAGGGCTCTGGTTTCATTCACCGAAAAGTCAAATATTGCAGAAAAAAAATCTCCAAATTCATTGGCCATGTTTTGGCAACTTAAATACATATGTAGACCATCTAGGATCAGCCAGAGTACCTCCTAACCTACGAAAATTGAAAACAACTCCAGCACTCAAACCCAAGTCAACAATAACCAACTCATAAGCTACTTCGTCAATGATAAAATTTTAAACATATATACAAACCAAACTAACATGGCATCTAACCATCTCAATAGATTAAAATACTCTGACTAAGGACTCCTTAAGTAACCTGAATAGAAAATTGATGGCAAAGCATTTTTGGTTGTCTATACAAGATTGATATATCAATAACCATTTAAACTCTTAATAAACATCTAAGTAGATAAGTCATACAAGTTATTCTGACCTTCCTACAACATTTCTGTGTTTCGAATCCCAGCTGAATGCAAAATCATACCAAGTAACTGCAAAGAAACTTCCTTGGAGAGGGAAACAGGCCAGGTCCTACTGCATCCACCGCAAACCTCAATGAATTTTTCCCTTCAAGCTTTTCTCCACATATGTTGGGTTGGGGCATAGAGCAGGCTGCAACAAGAATTCAAGGCACAACACAACAAATCTCCACCTTGTCTTGAATTCCATCAAGCCACATAAGAATAGTAAACTCTCTCCACCTTCACCACATAAGCCCCAAAGGGCACGTCTCAGAAATGTAAATACCAATCAAGTCCAGCCAACTGATGGTGGCTCAGTCGGTAGGTTCTCTGACTCGTCGGAGTAGAGACCTGAGATCAAATTCCGCGCCACCAGGGGTTGGGGGGGTTAAGGGAAAAGGGATGAGCTACCCCCTGTTGTGTAGCCCCATGAAGCGAAAAAAAAATACCAATCAAGTCCAAGCAATGCCACAAGGATAGGTTTTGTCAACATATCAGCAAGATTCTCAGTTGCAGCAATCTTCATCACTAAAACAACGACCTGAAACATGATTCCCCAAATGAAGTGATATTTGACATCAATGTGTTTGGTCTTCTCATGGAACATTTGATTTTTAATCAAATGTATGGCACTCTTGCTGTCACAATACACAACTGTCAACTCCTGCTGCAAGCCAAGGTCACCAACCAAACCTCTTAGCCATAACACTTCCTTCACCACCTCTGTCACTACCATGTACTCTATCTATGTAGAAGACAAGGCAACTCAGATAAGAAAACTCCTTTCCAACTAATGCCACACCCAGAGATAGTGAAAACATAACCAGTCAAAGATCTCCCATCTAAGACCACCTACATAATCTGAATCCACAAAACCAACAACACTACCACTGGTGTCAGTGTCACAATCCATGTCATAAACCAAGCCAACATTTGCGGTGCCTCTGAGATATTGAAGAATCCATTTCACTACATACCAGTGACCTTTTTCCAAGATATCCTATAAACCAACTCACAACACTAACAGCATGTGAAATACCTAACAAGGGCAAACCATAGCATACATAAGACTACCACTAATGTTAGCATAAGGAACAAGAGGCATATGTTCCTATGCCTCCTCAATATGTGGCGACAAAGCAAAATTAACCTAAAGTGGACTATGAGTGGAGTGCTCACTGGCTTACATTTCTCCATACCAAAACGCTCAACCACCCTCTCTATGTACTACTTCTGGTACAAGAACAATAATGCAAACGCTTTGGTCCCTGTAAATCTCCAAACCCAGTATTTTCTTGGTTGCACCAAGATCCTTCATCTCAAACTCACTGCTCAACTACTTCAAACTGTTGATCTCAGGCATGCCTCTAGCAACAACCAGCCAACCAATATGTCATCAACATACAACAACAAATACATAAATGAACCATCTAAGCTTCATGTGATACACACAGCTATCATAATCACTCCTAAAGTAACCATATCCAATCATAAAAGTGTCAAACCGCTTATACCACTACCTAGGTGAATGTTTTAAACCATATAAAGATTTTTTCAACAAGCACACATGGAAACCCTCTAGTTGATGCATGTAAATTTTCTTTCTCCTTAAGCTCATCATGTAAGAAAGTTGTCTTGACATCAAGCTGAAAGGTCCAAATCAAATAAAGCAACCATGGCAAGCAACACACAAATAGAACTATGTTTCACAACTGGTAAAAACACTAAAGCCCTTGTACCCTTGCATCTTCAACCCTGTGGCGGTTTTACAAGCTCCCAAGTTTGATTCTTATGGACAGGCCCAATCTCCTCATTCATAGCAGTCATCCATTGAGAAGATTCATCACAAGAAATAGCCTCCCTATAAAAACATGGCTCATGACCATCAAGGTCCTTTGCAACAAACAAAGCAAAAGCAATCAAACGCACATAATCATACCTTTGAGGTGGTCTTGTCTACCTCCTCTATCTAGAGGGCGCAAGTCAGGTACCCAATTTTAAGATTTTAAACTACATTGAGATTGGGTTTTCAGTCCAAGCCCATTGATATTTTGACAAAACCTCAACCTGAGCCCACTGAAGTTGCACTCCTACCTCTGTCTACTTGTAGCAATATGGCATCATTGCTCCTCAGGTGCCTCTTCATTTGAGGAATCATGCACCTCATCCTGAACTCAAGTGTCTTCTCACACTGTCCAGAGTCCCCACATTAACACCACCTGCTTACCAACTCCCTTGCCCCCATCAACATCAACAAACCCCTTACTTTGACTGAACATAGCAGACTCAGGTTACATCCTTGCTAATAATAAACTTAGGTGACTTTGGATCAGCACACCACAACCTATATCCCTTCACCCCAGATGCATAACCTAGGAATATGCATTTCTAGGCCCTTGGCCAAAGCTTATCTTCTTTCACATGAGCATATGCAAGATAACCAAATATTTGCAAATCAAAGTAGTTACCAGGAGAACCAAACCACACCTCTTCAAGAGACTTTAACTCAATGGCAGTTGAAGGAGATCTATTCACCAAGTAGTAACCATACTGACAATTTCAGCCCTAAAGTCCATCAATAAATCAGCATGTAAGAGCATGCAACATGCTCTCTCCAAGAGTGTTCTGTTCATCCGTTCTGCAACCCCATTCCGCTGTGGTGTTTTTCTAACAGTGGCAATGTCTAGCAATTCCTTCTTTTTTTTTGAAGATTAATAAAGATAAAATTTTATTGCCAAAAGGAAAATAGTACAAACATAACTAGGTGACAAGATGTGACCACCACCAGAAAACAAAAAGACTCGTTACAACATCACTTCAAAACAAAACAATCACTTAAAGACAACACAAAACGTCATCACTCTTTTATGCATTCAAAGAAATCCGGAAATCAGCACCAAAATCTTCCTTCCTCAATCCTTGAAACTCAGGAAGCCGCAGCACCCAACCAATAACTGTTGAACTGATAACAGCCACTGTCTCTTCCATACTTCTCTTTTTCTCCTCAAATAGTCTTCGGTTTCTTTCCTTCCAGATCTCCCAGCACACAGCAAAGGGAATACAGGTCCATAAAATCTTAGATTTAATGCCACCACAGATCTTTGCCAGCAACTAAAGATTTCAGCCGGATCTGCATCTGTTCATCTTAAATAGCTTGAAGAAATAGGACCAAACTGGAAATGTGAATTTGCAGTGCAGTAGTAAGTGAGAAACACCTTCCTCTTCAGAAAAACACAGCACACACCTACTTGGAAACTGAATGCCTCTGAGCTTCAGATTATCCTGGATTAAAATGCATCCT